ATATATATATATATATATATATATATATATATATATATATATATATATATATAAGTATTTAAACCGTGTCTCATACGATGTGCACTTTATTCTTTCCAGATGCGTTTCCTTCGGTCCACTGGTTTAGTAACGGTGTTGATTTTTATGCAAAAAAATAAACATAATCTCATCCAGAGATATTTTTCTACGGGTGGTAAATGAAAAATTATTTAATAAATTTTTAATTCGTATTTAATATTAAAAAAATTTTGTTTGTGGACAGGATGTTATTGGATTTTAACTATCGCGTTAATATTTAATTAGCGATTAATTCAATCATAACTGGTTATATGTATAATTGTAGGTTTTAATTTCCTGCGGATATTTCTTCAAGCATTAAAAGCTTAAGACTTTTAGCCGGAAGTATCATACACTGCAGTTGAAAGAACAATAAAACAAATAATCGAATTATTACCAATGGTTTTTATTTTTTTTATTTTACTACCTAGATTATTTGTTGATAAATTTATCTGGCTTTAAATAAAAGGGTAAATGCACCTATAAGTTGACTGATTGTATGTAATAAAATTATTATTAAATAAATAGAATGTTAGTCAACATTAAAATTATATTTTTGTAAGAAAAATTTTTTCCTTCGCTCTGAATTTTCGTTGTTAGATTTTATTTTATTTATTATTTACTGTTTTAATAGTGAAAATTTTTGCAGTAAAATCTTTAATGTAAAGAAAATTTAATTTTTTTATGTTAAAAGAATAGATAATTGTTAATAAGATAATTTTGTCTCGCACATATCTTAATGATAAAATTTCAAAAAAATTTTTTTTAATGTTTTCATCTTGAGTCAAGAAAAAAAATTATTGGATCAAGCACAATCGACTCTTTTTACAGTTGCTGTTTCCAAAAAGGACCTTCCGTTAAAGGAGCTCCTTCTCCTGACCCCCACCATACATATTTATTCCCCGATGCGCAATAAAAAACTCAAGTTTTCAGATACATTTAAAGCGCGCGCTAAATCTCTCGATTCTGATAAGTCATATTAAAGACAGGTAGGAGAATATTGGCGGACCTTTCATGAATGTACATGGTAATTTTTAGAGAGCAAGGATTTTTGGAATGAGTTAACTGTAAAATTAACTGTAATTAAAAAAGTTTCTTAGTTCAAAAAGTTTTTGATTTGTCTATATAATTAAGAGGGTAGACTATAATAAAAAATTAATTTGAGAAGAAGAAACAAGAGAAGATAGCTTAAATCAAAAACATAATTTTGAAGAATTTGATTATCTTGAATAAAGTTGAAAAATTTTTGAATCAAGTAAAATTTATTTAATTAAGAAACAGTTTATAAGTTTGAGAAATTTTCTATTTGTTTCAAGATAATCAAATTCTACAAAATTAAGTTCTTGATTCAAGAATTTTTCTTTGCTCAAATATTTTTATCACTGCAAAGAAAATATTTTGTTTGACACATCTAAATGATAAAATGAGTTTTTTAAGTTAAATTTTTTATCATTTAAAGGATTTCAACCTCAATTTATGTCCTTTTATGGCCCTTTTTAAAAATATTGATTAAAAAGAATTAAAAAAGGCCATTCGGCAGCCGAAATGGAAGTAGATTTCATGATGAAAAGAATTAAAAACAACTAAAATTATAAAAAAAAAATAAATTACGTTCAATAAAGAAAGAGAAGAATTATTGTACTTCAGTACTTTTCAGTCAGTTCTGTATAGACAAAACGACTGCAAGGGTAAAATTTCTTAAAAATGATCCTAAGATAGATATTTTTTTGCTTTAGAACAAAATGTGAGCACATAAATTGAAGCTTAATTTCTTAGCTTTCAGATGCATCTTACAGAAATTGAATAACTCGACGCGTTCAAAAGTTATTTGAAGGAGAAGTAGTGAAAGTATCAAATTTTAAAAATTTCAATATATATATATAAACTTTTGAACCATATGTATTTTCTGACTCAGATTGTCGAGTTAGGTCGAAATATAATAAAATTAACGGAAAATTACGTCATGAGGATAAATACAATAGTTAGATTTTTATGAAATCTACTAATAAAAATGATGAAATTCGAATTCTTTTAAATAATTTAAATTCTTTTGTTTGTATATATAGATATATAAAATTGTATTATTTATATCGATGTTCTAATTAGCAAATCGTCTAATTCCAATTTAGAGAATCTTCCATTTGTACGAAAAAACAATTAATTCAAAATTTATGATCACTTTAAAAAATCATTTAATATCTGATAAAGGTATAATATTTTGGTTTGGATCATTCGAATAATTCACAATTGGACTATTGCTACATCAAAGCGCTAAAAAATCACCCTCTAAAAAATAAGGAGTTAGATCAATTGCTAATTAGAACGTCGATATGTAGATAAGAATTTTAATATGCAAGTATAGCTACTAAAGAATATAAATATACCCTACAGATAGAATTGTAAGCATCGATTAATGACAATTGATGTTTGCAATGATAGACCTTTTTACTCCGCCGTCCATCTTACGGCTTTAAATATACGGTTTGCAAGGAGTGACCGCTTTTAAATTCTTTTCAATCAGTATTCTTAACAAGGAAGTTCCATACATTCTTCGGTGACACTAAATTTAATATTCCAAGTTTTCGGGGTAGTTTTA